GCCCAGCGCCTCAATGCGCTCGACCACCAGGGAGACTCCCCTTGTGGCCAGGCGCGCCGCCTCTTGGAACAAACCCTGTACCAACCCGTTTGTTTAGCGTGGTACAGTAGGCCAAAACCTCTTTTCTAAAGAGAGGCCTATGTCCATCAGTAGACTATCAAAGGCTGTTGATGTGATTTGGATTATGTTTTTTATGATATAGGCACAGACGGGTATATGTATCTCCCGATGGCAAATGACAACCACCGCCCATGAACGACTGCAACCTAAGACAGACAAATGGGTTGCCGCTCCTTTAGAGGCAAGGAGTTATGAGTCATAATTATATTATGTTTATTCACTGGACTGTAAGTAACAAGAAGAGGCATAGTACTATAAAATTCCTTTTTGTAAGCAACAGTTGTGTTTCTTTAAATGTATGTTGTAAGCGAAAATGCTGGCAAAAGTATTAAAGTAATAATTTTAACTCATAAGTTGTAATTTGTGTCTAGTTAGATATTTATCCATGTATTTTTATTTTGATATATAAAATACTGGATGCGAGAAGTCCAAAATCGATGTAAGTGGCCTGCAATGGGAGAGGCCTATGTACAGCAGTGGACTGCGATAGGCTGATGATGATGATGATGATATAAAATACTCGTAAAGAAAAGAAACATTTATCAATAGTGAGATTATTTCAAGTCATATGATATCTACATACTCAGAAAATTCTTTGTATCCCTTTCTAAATAAACATGGCACACGGGAGGATTATTAATGTGTACTTAATAGGTAGAAAGGTTTTTGAACAAGAAATCTAAACCAAGATATTATTTGTGTTCGTTAACATTTGATTTTTGATTTGGTCTGGGTGTTTCTATGTGTAATAAGTATGTATTTACCAAATTACAACCGAAAATATCTGGTATATATTTCAGATTTAATGAGACATGTAAAATAATCTTTTTCATTATCCGTCTACGTCGAGACAAAACCAAACGGCGGCTTTGTGTTACCACATCGGTTCATTTATTCATGCCATTCAGCCTGATAGAATTATATCCAATATTATTTAATTATCGTCTAGTGATTCAGAAAATCAATAAAAACTTACTCTGTCGCTTGAATTACTTTCAGTCTTCTGAACACGTAATATCGTAGATTATCTTGTTAAGTATATTTTACTACTTGTATAATACTTTGGGTGTTGCTAAAGGCCTTAATAATTATATTTTGCAATTTATTTTGCAATTTATATTTGTAAATTTTTAGAAATATATAAGTATGCTTAGCAGTAGTCTGGTTACCATAGTACAGGCTCTGCCTAGATGGGGATCAGACAGCCGTGTGTGAGATGTGAGACGTTATTATTATCTTTAATAATTAGTATGATTTTGCTCTTGTAAGATAAAAGTTTAAAAGTTTACTCAAATAGGGAATTAACTTTTGAACAGTGGTGTAAGTTATCGGCTTGCCATGTAACACTACGCTCTGCCGCGTCGAGTGTTAAGATTCCATCACACGGGACATCACTTTATATATCCACAAGCTATTGTCCTGATGTTCCTTCCATAATTCGCGACTTTGCAACGTTGAAACTACGTGAATCATTGTCAGTACAGGAGTCGAATATTTAACAATCCGAATTGAAATATGTTTCTCTTTATTCAACGATAAAACTCTAACTGCTACATATTCGTATAGGCTTCGCTAAAACCGGTAAGTGATCTTCAATCCGAATTTTTATTGTATTATTTTTAGTCCCCATTGTCAAAAAGAAAACAAACTAAACATGATGCATAAATAACTGAGAAACTCGCGTTAATATCAGATTCTGAAAGTTTTTAGTCTAAAAGGTGTGTTAATCACGATAAGCAAAAATACATACAAAAAGGTACAACAGATACAGCTTGTATTTATGTTTACAAATCTACGTACAAATTCGGCTTTACAAGATGTGTGATTGCCACACAAAAGAGGGTATAACCGCGCGTGACAAGAATTGTCCCTAGTTCGAAAAGAGCGGACGACTCAAACAAACCTCTTCTAAATTACAATTTATGGCCACTTTATGGGACGGGAAAGTAAAAGCTTTCGAAGCAAAAATGTGGGTAAAAATTCATTCCTTTTTAGGGCTCCGTGATTTGGGACCTTTTTAGGTGACGAGGGTCTATCCAATAAAACCACTTATAGTATTAATCCTTAATACGATTTTGGTAAATTTATTTTGTCAAATATGCCTCGAGGCATTTAGGAATGATTTACTAAAGCTATTAAAAGCTTAATTCAATTAATTAACAAGGTAGTTTCAGAAAGCATCACAAGCTTACAAACTAACTTTTGCATTTAATAACAATAATAATGATATCTTCACACGTCTCACACACGACAGTCTGGTCATAAACAAGGCAGAGCCTGTACTATGGTAACCGATTTCTGATAAACAAACTTATATATTACTAAATTCATGCAAATTGTAGATTAATTGCATACAGATAAAGAACAAATGATCGTGCTCATCATACGATTATTTATCCTGGTTGATTATATACCAATCTTTCAGTTTCATCTCTCCTTAAATAGGACTTTAGACGCGAGCTACACAGAAACAAGGTTCCGTGTTCATATCGAACGTTATTCATTACTGCACTACTGCACAATAAACTGCCTTTGGGTGTTTACAAACCGGAATATACAGATGAACATCAAAATGGTTCAGTGAAGCACAAAGTTCTGACATTCTCTTAAATAAGTCTTTAGAATATAAACCCTAAAACAAACGAACTTATTATGTTGGTGACCAGTAGTGTATGTCTAGCAGTAATAAAATATTTATTGTTTTGAGCAGAACGTGCCGTGTAGGGATAATCATTTACGACAAAGGTCGAACTCATAAAATAATATTGACAAAATTCGCAAGTTACTACATGTTACGATGTAGCCACCTGCTAGTAATGTATCCAGCTGGCAGAATTTCTTCAGCATTTTTGGCAATGTAAATGAACAAGTATTTTAACAGTCATGGGTGATCTATTTTGAGCTCAGAGAAGCGGCATGCTAATTGCTGCTCTGTACAAGAAAAAGTCTGCCGTCTGGTCTGGTAGTTAAGTTAGTTTTTTATATTTGGATTTGGGTTCTCATTCTTGTATTGATTGTTGGGACTTACAATAAATATTTTAGCCTGATCTTTGACCGGAGGTGGTGCATCAACGAACGCTGCAGCTTACCAAAAGTTGGTCATCCAACTTGGGTGTAGACGGTTTAGGCGCTAGAGTGGTTCAGATGTTTTAATGGAATTCGTTTTAAGTGCATTGTGGTACACCGTTTTAGTCAGTCCGATTCCGACATTGCACCACTGAAAACTTATGCGGAGTGATAGCCCGGCGGGATCTTCACAAGGTAGAAAAGCATTAGTTGTCATCTGTACTGTACTGGGATTAGTTTTGCATACAGAACCACATGATTACACTGTTAACAAGTCCACAAGGATCCCTATTCAGTAACTCAAATATAGAGTAATTACTGAAAATTTTGACCTAGAGTTTACCACTGACTGTTTCATGCTCAACTTAAAGAAGCTTATCCACATTTAAATCTATGAAATGCAGTGTAATAGGGCCTAGATAAATGTAAATATATATTTGTAGTTGTTCAAGACAAAGTAGTATTCATATTCGTATTTAAGGGAATGAAGAGATACTATTATATTCTAATACGTTACGTGAGGTCATTTTGATTATGAGTACTAATACGTAGTAAACCCATCTAAAAAAAAACATAGCAAGCACGTTTTAAGGTTCAAATTGGACATTGTTGCAACTTTGAATAGAGGTCACGTTACTTGAGAGTACAGACTGATAGTCGCAAAGCCTCGATATTGCAACTTTACTACTTCAAATACTGTTGGGCAGCCGTTTTTTAATCAAATATGTCCAACTATTAAGCCATCCTTTTTTGCGGAGCAGCGGATAGGAAGAGATTATGCCCATATTTTTGCATATATAAATAGAGAATTTTCATATTTACGTAAGCACACAGAATGTATAATAAGGGACCAAGAACATTACGAGCTTTTTTAAGCCATCTGTTCCTTGCTTCATATATCATAGTGATTTTATTCAGAGCTTTTGTACTTTACCTAAATTTGTAATTTAGCTTATACTACACTATGAACAGATTATGGATATCCAATTAGCACGATATCCTTTGGAAGAGTAGCGGGATCTGAAGTCGTTCATTTCCAGAGTTTATCTCTAGAAGGACTCTATTAGTGACTACATGAGTATTACTTACATATGTCGCCCCGTTTGTTACTGCACTGAGTGTTGTGAGTTCGATCCCTCCTGGGGCACCACTTTGTGTGGTCCACAAATTGTTGTTCTCAGTTTGCGTGTTCTTTGTGTTCATTTAATTTTTGTTAGTGAAGTTCCCTGCGACACACGATATATGTATATTTCTAATGTCAGCATTAGTCTGTCAGCAGTAGTTGTCTTTTTAAAAATATATAAAAGAAATACTTTAAAACTCCTCATCACCATTTTCCTGTCATTTTTCCAATTTTATTTCTAGTTGGCGCAATTTGTAATATTACAAAAGTTTCTGGCAGTGGTCACAGGCTTTGACAGCTTGCTAATTGACTGCCATCCTGTCCCTGATGGCTAGGGTCATTAGGACCAATTTCCCAGTACAGCATTCTACCAAAGTAGATCAGTCCGGTTTGACAACAAATGTAACTATTTTGATGTCTTATTAATTGTAATGTTTTTTTGTTTCAGATGAGATGAAAAACCTAAATAAATAAAGAAAGCAGTAGTAAATTAATATTCGTAAAATAAACTAAAAATACCTGTTACTAAACACTGACAATAAGCCAGGCCAAATTCATTATAAAACATATTTGCTTATAAATATAATAAATTTAAAAATCTTTTTCAAATTAGTGAAGTGAAATTTATTTTCAAATTTATAATACCGGATACCAGATTACAAATCAACATAAGTATAATATTTTTATAAAAATGAGTATCGATTCTAATTCGTCTGCCAAACGATTTAACTTAGAAAGAGCTTCAAATTTTATGAGGCAATTTCGAGATCCAGACTCCAGAGAACTAAAGAAACTTTCTGCCAACCAATTCATGGAAGTTTGGAGCCATTACGACAGAGATGGTAAGTTTTTATACATTTTTTTACGTCACACAGTTTTCAGAAACAGTATTCCTTTATATAAATTCTTCCTTTAGTGTAGTGTACGAAAATCTTGTCTTGAGTACTCAAAAGATGTAGGTACGAGTAGATGTACCTATGCATGATTATATTGTGTGTTTGAAAACTAATGAACTCTACATATATATCTACTGTATTCATATTTATCTAAACCCCTTATGGTTTAGATAAATATGAATACAGTAGATTTAAAACGAAATAATCGATTTAGAAAGATATTCTTTCACGCCCTAAATCGATTATTATTATTTGAGAAGTGAGATTGATTTGTTTGCATAAGTTCTTACGTTAAACTTAAATACTATGATCAATATACAGTACAATGTGACTAAGTGACTTGAAAATAATATGTAATTACTAAAATGGAAGAAGTATTTATTTTTAACATAATACCAGACAAAACTGCAATGATTTAGCGTGAGTGATAATTTGGTAATAAATCCATAAAAAAATAACACAAAGTTTATTTAAACTTATAAATTACTTACTTATAACGACGCCCTCATCTCCGGAGGGGACGGCCGAAGGATATTAAATGCAAATATAAATTTTGATTGCAAATTTCAAATGAATAAAACGGAAAAATATAGAATATTAGCTTTTCCCGCGGCGCCGCCCGCGTGTATGTCGGTTATCGTGGTAAAAAAGTACCTTATGTTACACGCTGATATTGTAGCTTTCCATTGGTGACAGAATCTTAAAAATTGGGTTATTGGTTTAGGCGTGAAAGCGTAACAAACAGACACACTTGCACATTTATTAGAAAAGTATGGAAGTATAAATATATACTTATTTATGGTATAAGTACCTTGATAATGAATGCAATGTTTTTTGTGAAGGGTTAAAGGGCTTAGGGTTCTAAAAACAAAGGGATGTTATTTGAAAGTACGTGTTAAATAGAAAATTATGTAGATTAGTATTTAATACTGGATGTTGGTTCAAAGCCTCGTTCTGCTTAGGTACAGTAAAAAAATGTATATCTTCTGTTTTTTGTTACGTTTCAGAAACAACTTCGTTATAATGTAAAATATAAAATGAGATGAGGGCTCTAACATTTTGTTACCTAAGACATCTTAGGCATGCAAGTTAATCAAAATTATATCTCATATTCGAAAACGTTTACCCTTCAAAACCAAAGTTTTGTATAACAGGGAAAAGCACTTGGCGAGATCGGAACATCCCGAATGTTGTTGGGAAATTTTAATACCAAATTACATAATTCAGCACTTTCATAACATTATTACAGCGTTCGTTGCCAAACAAACTAAATATCTAATCTTGTTAAAACTACAAAGGAACAAGTCAAACAACTGGCTTGATCAACGTTACCCGACGTCAATCGTGTGGACCTTGCCTAATGTCAAAAGTGTCACTTAAATTTTGGGGGTTTCTTCTGACAAATTGAGCCTGCATAAAAAAGTTTTTTGGTTTGTGCCATGGAGTAGCTATTAATTTAGATAATTATACCACTGTTCTCACACATTTTCTCTAGTGGCGGCGTAGTTAAGGTTTTGTAAAAATGTGGTGTACGTTGAAAAAAAAATCAGGTTTACAGTATCGGAGCATTGAAAAGTCCTTCCAACTATCCAAAAGTTTAGTTCCATATTTGAATAAATCTTAATTATATTTAAAACAAGATTTTCTAGGCAATCTTAGATATAGTTTGTACTTTGTAGTGTTGACATCTAGACACTGAACGGAGGAAGCTGAATGTTAAATGTTGCCGGTAATCTGTATGATTCGGGTATTCTTTACAAGACCTAAGTATTCAAGGTATCAAGGCAATGTATTAAATTTTATGAAGAACATGTAATAAGAGAGTAATGCTTTGACACAAATGGGTTCAACCGCAATGACACCAGGGCCCCACAGAAAACTTATATACTCGGCGATTTTTCCAACACATGTTAAACGGTTTAGATTTGAAAGCTTAACAGATAGACAGAAATAGTATCTTATATATAATATCACATAAAAATTTAATAAGTTAACTTTTCTTACCAATGCCAACTATCTACTAAGTTTATAACGCTAAGAAGTTTTTAACGATGAAAACGATTCATGAAGGCAAAACTTCGAATACAAACTTGAAACTTGCTATCATAACCATTTCATTTAATATTAAACTGTCTTAATTACTGAATGTTTCACAGTAATAATAGTAAGTTTAAAATGAGTTGCCGGTCGTTGCCAACTACCTGGTTTATCTCGGTAAACCGCAAATATAATAAATGAACCGATAACACTTCATATTAATTAAGATGGCGATTTGTCATCGCAAGATGGCAAGTTATTTTTTATTTGTTATACTCAGAACTATAAAATAAGTAATTTCAATCCATTTCATATTTTGTCCTAAGGTAAATAATTATATTTATCGAAATTGTTGAGGTGATTCACAATATACAATTTTTTTAATCAATAGATCTAATACTTATTTTTATACAAACAGCATTTTATAGTGATCATGTCAATATTAGATAGCTTTGTGTGTCATTAGTGCAACATGATTATATTAAAATAACCTTTGTTCTCAATGGTACTGGGCCTCAATTCTGCTATTTTATGTTTACGCTAAGCCACTGTCATACTATTGAGATGCCATCGAGTGGCCATTGGCATCGGTATAAATATCGGTAGTTCAAAATATATTACGTTTTTTCAGGAAATGATTTATTTATTTTTATTATAATAAATTATTAAAATAAATAAATAAATTATTAAAAAAAATTATAAAAAAAAGAAAAAATAAATTATTAAATATTAAAAAAATAATAATAATAAAATAAATAAATAATTTCCTCAAAAAACGTATATTTTCAAATTATAAGGAAATGATTTATGTAATGTATGACAGTGGCTTGGCGTGAACATAAAATAGCAGAATTGAGGTCCAGGTCTCATGTTAACATAGCGCAAGCATTGTAAACTAGCTGGTACCCGCGACTTCGTTCGCGTGGAATTTGAAAAGCACTGCCTTAGTATTGTAGTCGCGACTGCAGTCCATGAGGCCTCGGGTTCGATTTTCAGACTGAACAAAATTTTATAGAGAAGGAAGGAAAAATAGCCTAAGTTACTCCTAATAGGTCCAGCTGTTTTGAAGACTACCCGGAACATTGAAAAACAGACCAAAAATATTTAAACTGGCTTTTAGGCATAGGTATCGGGCAAATAACCGTGTAAGCATAAAAAATCCTATTATTTTGACATTACAAACAGACACTTCCATTTTATTTACTTGTATAGATTGAAATAAACGGCTAAATAACAGGTGTTATTACGGAATAGCCTTGATCGATATCTGATCAGATTGGTTGATTTACTTTGAGTATAAAAAAAATCTAGTTTGTGATCCTTTGAGCTGCTAATCTATCAATCTTTACTATACTATAATTTTGCAGACGTCACCGTAACATCGGCTGTGCAATTTATCTGATATAAAAAATATTTCCTTCCTCCGAACTGATTGATCAACTGATTCTTGATCAACTGACTCAACAGATTTTTCTTTTTGTATGTTTGGTAGGTATGACAATAGGTAAAGTATTTTTAATGCGATTTGATTTCTTTGATAATTTATATGGCAGAACAACGTTTGCTGGTTCCGCTAGTATTATATATATGAAAATAAGGGAACCTACCTACTGATAATATTATATTGCTCATAATTACTAGATAAGTAGCTGTTTAAAGAACAAAACTATATTGGTCTGAAGTCTACTTAGACATCGCACTAGTATTCACCACAGTACAATAACAGTACAAAACTAGAAAAATATTTTTCTTAGTTTCTTTAAATCGTGTCTTGATAGAAGAAGATAAGACTTCTATGATTTCAAATTAGGTATCCTACAAGGTATTCTACTGACCGCCGCTGACATAGTGTTTATCAGGGCATGCGAATAATGCCATTGACCTATCGTCATGATTTCACTGAGAGAGAGAGAGCTACAGGAGCGTAAACTACGTGGATTCAACCGTCCATTGATTGTTTGCAGTTTTGTGGTGATAGTTTACAGTTTCATGTACGGATGAAGTCCAGTTAACAAAAACTATTTACCATAGTTGCATAATATCGCCATTTTTAGATACCTAAAATTTATGCAATCCAAAAGAAAAAACGAACGTAATTTCAATTATAAAAATGGTAAAATAAATTCACAAATACATTAAAATTAAAGAAACAAGAACTTCTAGATAAGACTGAATTGTATTTTAAATGGTTTTATTTTGAGTTTGAGAGAGTTTAAAATTCCTATCTAAAAACAACTATTTTCGTAAAGAGATATTAATGGCCATGTCGTGTGGATGACTTAGTTGCAAGCATCCATGGGTGGCGGTAGTCACTTATCATCAGTCACCGTCTGCTCGTTTGCTCTCAATGAAATAAAAATATATAAACGTGACGGGGTGCAAAATCCCTTTGGATCTCCGAATCCGATTCAGGTACTCACCGAAGCAGCCATCCTCAGTGAGCACCTGCGCCAGTCTTTAAGTGGGGCGACCTCCCTACCTCCCAAGCTTCGAGGTTAAGCAAAACGGCACCGACAGCACGTTGGCGCGCATTCTAACCGCGCGCGCCACTACGCTAGTGCCTGTCGGTGAGCGTTCTGCCGCATTTCAAGCTCGTCCTGGTCGTCTCCGCTCATACCCCGACGGATCGCGCGAGATTTGTCATAGACCCTCGCGTCCATATCCGCCAGGATATCAAAAGGCAAGAAATATGCCAGAACTGTCGCCGCCTCCGATGAAATTGTGTCATAACCCTGTATGATCCGAATGGCAGCTACCCGCTGCGCTTTATTTAGCTTGGCTCGGCAGCAGAGGAGGCCAATAAGACCCGAACCGCTGTTCTTTCGGACGATACAAGCCACCCCTAACTCGGCAAGCTCCAGGACTTCCTCGTCCATAGCCTCCAGCTACGAGTAGAACCAGAGTTTCGTCCGCGTAGCAGACAACACTCAATCCTGGGAAAGACTGGTTCTCAGGATCGCATCATACGCGAGGTTCCACAGAAAAGGTATTAAGACCGAAACCTTGGTAACCCCTCATGTGACCTTCCTTCGGCATTCTTCGCCCTCCCGACCCATATACGATATATATATCTGTCGCGAAGATAACCCCCGATGATATCCCGCAGGTACGGGGGCAATTGGTGATACACCAGTGCCTCCCTAATCGCCCAGTAAGGGAGTTAAAGGCGTTGACTATGTCAAGACTGATGACCAACGCCACTCACCCCCGACCGATAACCTCTTCCGACAAGGAGCGGACGCGTTCAATCGCGGCTAGTGTCGATCGTCGATGTCAGAAGCTAAATTGGTTGTCTGATAAGTCGGGTCCCACTCGCGTTAGGTGCTGGTTGATACGTGCGGCGATAACTCTTTCGAAGAGATTCGCCGCCTCGTCCAGCAGGCATATTGGTCGCCGAGGGAGATAATGCAGCCCTGCCAGGTTTCTGGATAAGTACCAGCCTCAGCCAAAGCGCACACCCATGCTCGGTCCGGGTCGGTCGTTTTACGGCTCGCTCCAGCTCTTTCTCCGTCACGTCGAAGTCGTCGGACCTCGTAACCGGTTCCGACGGTGACGGAGGGCATGAGGGACTACCCTGGTTTCTGGGGAAGAGGGTATCTACCACTCTTCCTACAAACTCCAGGTCCAGGGTCTACGTCAGTGGGGGGACCCACGGTCTTAGCTTGCACAATACAATTTTGTACGGGCACCTTCATGGCTCCCTGTCCAGTCCCTCTATGAGCTCCTTCCAGGACCGAGCCTTATCTTCCGTGATCGTGAGGCTGACAGCCTTCGCAGCGGCGCCGTACGTCGACGAATGGAATAGAATAGAATAGAATATTATTTATTTCAGAAAGCGCAGCATACAAAAATAAAACAAAAGTTAAAAAACAACATACACAAAGAAACTAAAAATCAAGTAAGGTTTGAAAATGGCAACATTTTTCAATGTGTCAATATTTCATATCTGACAGAATTTACATGACACGTCAATGTGCCACGTATCCGACCACGCGTCTATAAAATCGCACAGCGAGCTCGAGAGCCCGACTCAAGTTCCGGTGTTCACCAGTACACAGAACTTCTCCTACCCTCCGGCCGGTCCCGTGGCGTCACAGACGTCAGTCATGATGCCACGGAACGAGGCCGCTTGCGATTCCTGATCGGACGAGACCCGTTTTTCCTCTTCCTCTGGCCAATCCGCGACGATAGCAGGCGACGAACATATATCGGTTCATCCGCCTAAGAGCCCATCGTCGCGGAGGGCAGCTACTGCGACGGTCCGTTCCTGCGTCCGGGCGGCCCTCCGCGACACTCTCCATCCTGACACTTGGTCGATGGTCGAGGAAGTCGCCCACGTCAGGTCGACGATCGACTCCCACTGCCACCGCACGCAGGTGCTGATGGAACCCCGGTTCACAATGCCGAGGTGTAGTTCCGTCGCCCACTCAATGAGTGTATTTCCTCTTACTTTGTCCAGGCGATCTCCCCACTGTGTGGAGCGGGCGTTGCAATTCGGTGATATGTAGCAGCCCACAATGACCATGGGGCCCCACTCTACTGCAATACTACAAACCCCAGCCCTCTCTGAAGAAAGGTGAAGTGGAGGCCATTCTCCACCCCTGCCCAGTAGAAAACAGCGGTGCCGTCGTCCGATCCAAACCACTGAGGGTGATCCGGGACGTAGTACGGCTCCGCCACCACCGGTAGGGTAACCGATTGCTGAGCGAGCATTAAGCAGATTTTGAATTGAAAGAATTTTAGGCTTCTATTGCCTCCTCTGCCGGACGGGTTTCCGGCTGTGGCGCTCTTACGGCCGGCGGGTTCTGACTGGTCAGTATTCGCCAAGGCTGGAGCGGAGACGGTCTGCAGCCCCCTTTTCTTTTTCTTAGGCAGGGAGCACTTCTTGCTCCCCAACCGACGGTCCGCGGGGCGACCAAGGTCTGAGCAGACCGGGCACCTCGGCGTTTTCGTGGTGCATGTGACCTGTGCGACTGCACGCGCAGCACCGCGCGCCATGGTCTGTCTCGTTGGGGCACTTCGCTGTACGACGCGCTCGGGTGAGCTCGGCCCCTACTACTTTACCCCGAATAATGTACATGCGAGTGCGCCGGATCATTACAGCCCGACAAAACATTAGTTTTGTATCCATTAAGCATAAAAATATTTACAAATTAATTAAAGTAAGGGCCAGCGCGGACTTTTCACTTAAAAATAAATTTAACGCTATTGCTATAAAGTGCATACATGTTAGAACATGACAAAAAATGCTCTCGCGGCCTCGGGCCATGTTTATACACTTTATACCAATAGTGTTTAAGTTTACTTTCGAGTGTCTTAAAAATCCTCTCCGCTACGCTCCTCTTAGCCTGTGCTGGCCTTAATAAAATAAACCAGTAGTATTTTTGGCATCCAAGTTTTATTTTGAGCTTCACACACACTTACCTTACACACAACAAGGTAAAAGGGCTTGCCCTAGACAAGGTCGTATGATCGATTCAAGACAAAAAAATTACCGATAATAGTATGTATGATAAAAATGCACGAACAGCGAATATACTGAGTAAAATATATTGCAGGCCCTTTTTAAAGATCGTCTTATCAGAGGATTAACAGGGACCACGGCACGTATTGATCGTTTCGAATATTGCTGTACTTATTAGAAGTGTCCTCTCATCTAAAGAACAAAATACAATAGCTCGGCACAGATTTCGTTCTGCTGGGGTGGCTGTATCTAATCTCTTCAAAAACTCTTGAAAGCCTTCTGGTTGAGTGCACCCATAACGCTATTGTCTTCAAGAAAGCTTAAGTCCAAGATGTCTTATTACCGTGCTTTTCACACAAATAGAGAAATAATGATAAGGCAAGTGAAGAAAGGTCCTATGTTTAAAAAAATGACTTTTAAAATTCATTTAAATTACACTAATTTGACCATCTATTATTTTAAATACAATTAAAAATGAACTAAAATTAAATTGTAATTTCAATTAATATTATGAAATAAAAGGGAATTGTACTAGTAGTACCTAGGTAATTTTGATATTTTCGAGATCTCATAAAACAATTATTTAGCCGATAGCTAATGGTATGATATTTGCGAATGATTTCGTGATACTGTAGTATAGGAAATTCTTTACAATGAATAAATTTCTAATTTGTGTGAGTAGATATTGCATTTATTTTATTATTTTCAAATGTATACATACAAAATTACTTGCCCTGATTGACTGACTGATTCATCAATGCAGAACCTAAATAAACCTCTGGGGCTACAAACTGAAAGTGAAATTTTGGCGGCTGATGCTTTTTCTGTTGTAAGCACACATTAAGAAAGGATTTATTTTAAATTTCAAGGGATAAACGGTTGTATAGAAGTTCGTCATTTTCAAAAATAGAAATACTACCGCGTACAATAGCTAATGTTATATATATTTATGGAAGGGGAAAGAAAAAAAGGTAATTGGTGATTGGTTTTTAAAATCAATGCAAGAGGTTCATGGCGAAATCTCGTTTGAAGATACAAAGCGCTTATATAAATAATTAGAATAGCAACTAGAGAAGAATGATAATAATACGAGTAATAACTATTGTATTCACAAATGGTGTAGGTAATATTCTAATGTTGTTACATATTTATGGACCACACATGTACGAGTATGTATGGTGTATTTATGTATAGGATTCATGTGTATCGCAGGATGCCCATAGTGGACATAGCCCAGGACAAACCCATAGTGGTTTTTGGGATGCTTATTGTATAACATTGTATTCTTTCGGAGAAAATAAAGAATTATAAAAAAACTCGTGATATGTATTTATCATTCAAATTATAATTTATTGTTTTTGGATAGGAACAATTCCATTATTTTAACTAAAAATATATTTAAAAGAAGAAACCTAAGACAGGTTTGTTCTTTTAATTACATTTACAATTTCAACGAATAAGTACTTAAATTTTTAATTTACCTTTTTGTTTATTTGACTTTTTTTAGAAATAACTTTATCACCGGTATACTTGGGTTCCTTACTCCTTATAATAATTTAAATTTAAAAAAGGTTTTTAATGTCTTGTTGTTGAGCCTGCTACACGATAATCTGTTCTAGGAACGATGAGCCATTTTCTTGTCTTTATAATAGGTCTTTATTTGCACTCTACTGCACGTACCGACTATTACTTTTTCCAAAATTTAGACAACTTTTTAGTGGGTAAAAAAATCAATTCCCGAGAGGCAATACAAAATGCCTTTGAAGAGTTTGTTGCCTCCCGTCCAGCTGATTTTTACAAGAAGGGCATCAATAAACTGCCAAGTTGGCAAAGATGCGTCGATTGCATGGGTGATTACCTCGAATAACAGAAATAAAAAAATTTGAAAAAATAAGTACTTTCACTTATTGCGTACAAAACGGCAATTTCATAGGTAAAGACCTAATATATATATAAGAGATTTCCACGTATATAGTCACTCATCACGATATCTCTGGAACCATTAGAGCTAAAGACTTGAAATTTGGTAGGAATATTCTTTTCACCGAGTAGAGGTCAGCTAAGAACAGATTTTAAGAAATTAAAAAAAAAGCAATTAAATAATGTAAATAGCAAAACAACGTTTGCAAGGTCAGCTAGTCTACTATATTTCTGACTAAAATATTATACGAGAGCACCAAACTGCTGTAGAATTCTATTAAGGGTGAAGCCTGCTTTAGAGGCTTCAAAAACTCTTTTTTTTTGCATAAATGTCTTCCCAAACTATCCAAGAATGTGGCCCTAAAATTTCAGAAGCAAATTCAAATTGTTTTGGAGTTATAGAAGAAATAGTGAGCAAACGTCGAGCAGGAATACGAGCGGCCAGATCGCTCGGAGTGCCAGACGACCACAAACGAGTGCGTGGGACATATACAAAAGCGCATGGGTACTCGTCTCCGCAGCAAGAGAAGCTCGGTGGAAAGAAGCGGCTCACCGAGGCTTTCATAAAAAAATTAACAATTTATTACGGTCTGGCGATTCGAAGAAACTGAATTCTGTAGAAGATATGAGAAATGCAATAATGGCGACACTTGATCATTATTGGTCTACAGATCAATTACCTCGCCACAACAAATGCCCGGAAGGCGTCGAAAGCTGGAGTGAGTGGCGCAAAGCTGAGGCGACAAACACCCTGGCTGCTTTTAAATATCCACCACGTTTAATTGACGAACATGTCGAGAAGCACATTCGTCCTGTGTACGAGGAATTATCTAAGGACGATCTGCTAACGAGGTGTTTAGGTGGACACACACAAAATGCGAACTAGTCGTTCAATTCCATGAACGTCGAGATTGCTGCTTACATCGCTGGAGGAATGTTCAATGAAGGCTACAGTGCAGTATTGAAAACCATGCAGTTACTGGATTTGAAAATAGGACAGCAATGCAACAATTTCGCCAAGGGAGTCGACAAGGAGCGCGTCACCCGACAACACAGGCGCGATTCATTTTCAAGTAAAGAGGCCAGAACAGCCCGCCGACTCGAACATCAGGGCGAAAACCAGTTTTTTGAAGAGTCTGAAGGGCAACTCTATGGACCAGGAATCGCTGATTAGCATATTATTGCGGTAAGTTCAAGATTACGATTTTTTATATACGAAAACTTTGACGCGTGATTTCTCGGTTTATCGATTTTTACGATTTTTCCCAATTGGCGGGAAAGATAGGAAAAAAATTTAACGGCCTATCGAAACGAGACAAAATTGATTGTATTCGGGATTAAATTCTCTTCTAGTTGAACTTAAAAAACCTTAAGAAAGTTATGATTAACTCACTTTTTAAACAATCTAAAGTGATTTTTGTTTTTTCAAAAAAAAAATGTTTTTTTTAATTTGCGAAAATTTGTTGAATTTCTTACTTTTTGTTAAATTTTCTTGGTTTAACTAGAAGCTATACTATTGAAAATAAAATTTGTTTTGAGTTTTTTGTTTCAGATGGAAATTGCAACCTGCATCTTTCCCGCCGCACGACACATGCACGCTCGAGGCGCCTCGGCGAAATGCTTGTACCAGGCATAACATGACATATATTTTAATGAGAAAATTTGAGAATACTGTTGAAATATATAACAATAAAACCTGAAAGTTTCGTTTCAATCGAATATTTCTTTTCTTCACAAAAAAGTACTCGAAAAAAATCGATTTTTGAACCCGCTAAAGCAGGCTTCCCCCTTAAAGTCTCATTGAGGGAACATTCTAACGAACGAGTATACCAAAATTTTTTTTTAGATTCCATCCATTGAGAGCCTGGTTGTCCAGGTCCTGGTGTTTATTCATGTGATTTGCTATCTTGTAGTTCTACTTATACGTCTTATACTTGGCCATTGACTTTGCTATGGAATACTTGGCCCGAATGTAGAAACATATGATATGTATTTGTTTTTTATTCAGGATTGTGAGTATATATAACAAAACTTTAATACGGTTAATCCTGAACCCTGGCGTTTTATATTCTATTATACTAATCAGTCTTTAATACTCACGCGAAACCTATTTTTTTTTAATTAATATGTATCTATGTATGCATGTAATTAGTTAAACTACTATTACAAAATACATTTTAACGTGAAAAACATGATCGGGTTTACTATAAATTAGAAGGACTGATCTACAGCGCATCATTCGGTCATTGTTATCCAGTGTCTACAGCAACTCAAGACAAGACTCGAAATGAAATACTTCATTGTGTTGGTACTCTGTCTTGTTATCATTAAAATGGTTTATACTGCAAATTCTACATTACCTAGTTCGACGTCGCGATATGATAATTCAAGTCTACAAGCTGCGAATGTGAAATGTAACGCAACTTCCGTTGAGATTTGTGTTCTTGGCATTTGTGTATGCATTTAAAACTGTTTTTTTTTTGCACTGAGATGGATATTGTGATAAGTAGATACTGCTGAAACTGAGCACAAAAATAACTTGGTCTCAATGTAAAAGATGAGATGTTTATAGACTTATATTAATTGCAAGCGAATCTATAAAATACGTATTCGAACAGATTTGTAAAACACCTCCATATTCTGTATCAGGCATAGGACAAAATTTCCCGTTAAGCCAGCTGTCTACTTAATCATGCATAAATGTCTCTTGTGATTATACGATATCATTCTTACGATTGCATATTTCATATGAAATTTTTAAATTGTAGTAAATATATCAATGTGTCATATTATGTTTCTGTTTTTATTTTTCCAGTTTTAACTTTTATTGTTTGAATTACAAACAATACTCTGATTTCATATTAAATTATATTGCGGCACCCGTTTGCTTTTATGCTTAGAACATTATAGTAAACTACTGAAACCAAAGTTTTAAAAGTGAGTTTGGAGTTAATAAGTACACAGATTTTTATAATAGTTAGTCGATGAAATATTCCAAGAGCCTATTTAGTAACAGTTTTTTCCTTTAGAAAAGATTTTGTTGCTTAAAAGCTTTATACATACAAATTTTATAAGTTGATACTGTTTTTTTATTGTTAAAAGTTAAAATTAAAAAATTGACCTGGTTTTTGGTTGGTAAAATTGTTTACATAAAAATAATAATAATAATCATTGATTGCAGGTAGTATTAGGCAATAGAATAGTACATTATTTTCATATGTCACATATATTAAAACGGCAGATATTATACACAACTTGAACCACAGAATTTCTAGTGTTTCTAATTCGATACATAAAGGAGGCGGCCCTTTTCCTCATCACCGCATAGAAATCATCCACCCTATTCTCGGCGAACATACCAGACGCGCTTAGTGTAGTTCTTCCATAAGTAGCAAGTATAGAACGCCGTGAATAGGGTGATTTTAACATCTTTACTACACCGAACGAAACGTCGTGCCAACATGTTGCTTTTAGCAGCAATGGATCTCCTTTGCCTTTCCAAGTCTTCATCATCGCTTAGATTATCTCTAATAATATGACCGAGGTATTTAAAAGTCGATACTATTTTTAATTGTGATCCGGCTAGAGTTATTACTGGAACAAATGTACCATACTTGTCGTACCTAAATATCATAAATTCTGTCTTTTTTAGATTACAGGTAAGCCCATGGGCTTCGGCGTATTTTTCACATATCGACAACAGTGTTCGTAGGCTTTGAACCGAAGGGCTCAGCAGCACTATGTCGTCGGCTTAGTTTAGGTTATTAACTGGTTGGTTGCTCATATGACAGCCCACTCCTGACCCACTGAGACCGTTCATGTACAGATTATACAAAGTTGGTGATGTAAGACGACCTTGTCTTACACAGCATCTGAGAGTATATTCTTTAAAGAAGCTGTCATTTCCCCACTTAACAACATTAGCCTGAGCTCCGTACCAGTACTTAAACAGTCCCGGTGGGTAACAGGGTCTGCCAGCCTTTTCCATCTTTGCCCATAGCATATCATAATTAATACTGTCAAATGGGCGGCTGAGATCGAGGTAACATGCATATACACTTGTTTTTCTAGAAATGTAGTATTTAACTGTATTTTTAAAGTAAATATAGCCATATCTGTAGACCTACCGGCACGGAATCCAAACTGTGCGTTATTCAGATCTGTGTGTTTGAATAACAATCGCTCAAAGATTTTCGACAAGATAGTAGTAAGTGATATTGGAAGATAGTTTTTTAATCAGAGCTAACTCCAGATCCGGGCTTAGGCAAGGGCATAACTACAGTCCTCATAGAGTCATGCGGCAGAAAATTGTGAGCTAAACACACATGCTATCATATATTATGTCCTGTCTCGGCCTACCGTTTAGCAACCATAGCTGAAAAGCATGTCTCGCCTGCATGTGCAGTTGCGCAGTTGCGCAATGCTTTATTTGGTAGTTCCAGGCAATAACGCGTCTTTTTTTATTTAAATTGTTTGAACCAGCACAGGAATGTATCGCTGCACGTCGCAAAAAGTCGGTGATGTCACTTAAGTATTTGTTATAAATATATATATATATTTGTTATATATTTGTTACAAAAATGTATGTATGACGTTGTTTGTTCGCTGCTTTTGTTACCCCAAAGCACCCGCTTATTCACAGGATTACCATCACGCAGGACTGTTTTAGGTACAAGTACATATATGTCACATTCTATTGCCAGTGGACAGTGGTCCGACCATGATACATGCGTGATAACATTACGTGTTTTACAATACCTTGCGCCGTTCACGTCACAACACAGTGGTCGAGCCAGCTACATGTACCGTGCGCCTCGCTAACAAAAGTATAGGTATCAGAAGACTCACCCAGGATGTTAAGATCAGCACATACCCAGTCCTGGTCTTCACAAAAATATGATATTTCATTTCCGAACATACTACCCACATCCGCATTAAAATCGCCCAGCATCACAGCACCATCAATACCTCCTTCTATGATTGAACTCATTACTGCTAAACATTGTAAATTCGCGAATATTGTCCACGCATTCGGTTGGCATATACGAGTACACTGACATTACAAACATACTCCGGCCCGCGAGATTCACTTTGATTGCTACAATAAGTTTCGCACTAGACATTATTGGCCCGACACTTGTAAAGATTGACTTCCTGTACAATAACGCCACACAACCGTATGGTCTTCTCTTCAGCGTAACCTGCGTAAATCCTTCGTTATCCACATTTTCTCCGCTGCAAATATTGTCAAATCAAATGCAATCAAATGCAAGATAGCCATCTTGCATTTTGTAACCCATTACTGCCTTGCTAAAGTTTAGAACAGTATTATGTTTCATTGGCGTACGTGGCTGCTGAGTATTTATCGTTCTTGGGTTCTGAACCTGTAACTGACTTGCCGATGTGCTCGAGACCGATTGTACATTGATAACTTGTGCAATGTGCGCGTTGATTTTCAACACTTATAACAGAATTTTTCGTTTTTAATTCTTATACTTCTCGTTATCCGTGTGGTGACGGATTTAGAATACAGAGTTTCACCACCCCTATTCATGTACTTAGAACAACAGCAGTGCAAAGAAAAGGAAAACTTGAAACAAACTTTATACCGACCCGTCTTCCTTTCTAAGAAGAGGCTTACGTCCAGCAGTGGACTATTATAGGCTGTTGATGATGATGATGATGTCTTCTCGTTCTAACTTGTTTATTACTGTATTAGTTTCGTCCCTAAACGTCTGCATTTCGTTTCTTATTGTTGCTAAGGTCTTAAGCAAGCTAATTATGTCAAGATGATCAAATGTTATTCATGGTAGGCGGTTTAAATCGCATGCAACGAAGTTTGGTAAATTTGCCGATTCTTTTATAATTTTTTAAATATCTGAAATGTAACTAGAGGATTACACACACAACTATATTACTGCCTCTTCGCGAGTAATATGAATAGTAAAAGACGTCAACAATCCACTTTTGTTATGTCCTACGCATACTGCCGCATATGTCCACTCTTCGTTCCTAATTCAATCTGTCCTCCTCTGGAACGCTCTGCCTTTGTATATCAGGGATAGCACCCAGCCGCCTCTCATTTAAGACGAAAGTCCGAGCTCGAATTCTCGACACTAGCAGATTCATCAAATACCTAAAGTTTTATAAAGTGTATTATATGTATATACATGC